GGGCGGGACGCACTCGGCTGCAGGTCCGCCGCCCAAACAAGGTCACACCGAGAGACACATGTCCACGAACAGACCAGAGTTTTTCCCGCAATCCATCAGACACGCACTGCCATGGAAAGGTCACGGAAATCGCATGGCAGTGCTCACCAAAATCCAAATTCAAGCCCATTCTGTCCTGGCTCCGCCCCCTTCCGATTCCGTATGCGAATTAGGTGGGGGTGGGGTGTGGGGCGGACGGGTGGGAGTTTGATCTTTACACAAACACACGAAACCAAACAGAACACCACCACCCTTTGCGTTCGGCAAATCACCTCCGGCTGCGATTAAGGGGCTCAGTGCCAGGGGTTAATCGGAGCACACTCGACCGATTTCCGTGACATACGTCTCTAGCCAAATCCGGCAGAGATCGGAAGACACGCCCGACACCACCAGCCGTGGGCTATGCAATGGATTGAACGAAACATGCGCCAGAGCCAATTTTTATATTTGACCATTAAGAAAAACCTATGATTTTGCTTTACGATTCGACCCACTATCATCCGAGATTGCGTAGCCCTCGGCGTCCTAGGCGGCGCGGCGTCGTCATCCGGACCATCCTCCAGCACGCCTTCCAAAATTGGCGTTGACTGGATCGATTAGCCCCCAGCAAATTGAATCGCAGCCCGCAGGAGATTTGGTTATTATCGCCTCATTTCGTACAAAGAGAAACCGCAACAAGGAAACACTGCACATCGTTTTTTACACCCTTGCGTTATGTTTTTTGAATGTATTTAAAAACAAAAATGAAAAACCAAAACCAAATAATGAAAAACAAAATATGAAAACACACAAAACACTGAAAAAGAAAACCAAAAGTAGAATGTAAGTTTAAATAATATGCTATTCAAAGAAATCCAAAACATGATTACCCATAAAACAAAACAAAAAAAAAACGCAAAAACTAAAAATACTAATTATAGTACATACATTGATGTAGTGTTAATTGTAAGATCCCAGGAAATTGTTTCATGAATGCCAGAAAACAGAAAACGATAATGAAAAACAGAAAACCGAAACCAAACTCCAAGCAGTCGTAGATGCAGATACAGTATCTATGAGATTCAGCTGCAAAGCTACAAAGCCCGTAAATGTACAAGTAACTATTTTTCTCTATACCAAAAGTAAATCTCCACCATTTTTGCTCCACATTTAAGAAACAAACTCGGTGCAGGCAAAGATTGAATTTAGACGCAAAAATACAGCGATCAGGGCCTAAATGCCGTGCGATCAAGAAATTTTTAATTGAATTGTAACAGACTACGCAAGCAAATACGGAATTTAATATTAAATGTACAATAGCGTCGCTTTAAAGTCTATAAGAACATTTTGTTGCCATGCAAACGTGAAATCCAAACCCAAATCCGTTTGACATTACGACAGATTCGAATGACATCAACAACAAGAAAAACACACACAACACAGAAGATAACTGCAAAATAAATGTAACTGACATAACATATTGCTTTGATTATTTAATTTCGCAGGCTCGGAATTATTGGGGGAGGTTCCCAACAAGTAAGTACTTACTCGGAAGCAGTAATCTAAACGATTTTTAAATGAACGCTTTTAGTAATATTAATAATTTGGTTTTATTATACTTGTAACATGGAATACTCAATTAAATACATATATATACAGTATATCACGTAAATTGTCTTAAAACATAGAGCTAAGATCTTTAGTTTGTTTCGGGCTACACTACAACGTGAAAGTGTGCTGCCGGCTGTCTGCCTCAATGATAAGGACAAGGACCAAATGACATACAATGATTATAACGCACGTGATGAGAAATACGTAGAGAATTACAAACTGCTGGCTGGTCACTAACGTCAACTATTTGTTCTGTTCCGAGTCAGATGAGCCGTTCGAAAGGATCGGCGGTGTTGACCTGCCGTCGTATTGCTGCTGATTCACCAAACGTTGTCGTTCCAAGTACATTGAAACCTTGATGTTGCGCACCTGGTGGTTGTCGATAAGTTTCAGTAGGGCGATGACGCCGATGCCAACGGAAATTGCGAATGAACCCCATGCTCCAAACTGCAACAGGATCAAGAAGAGTGGTTAAATGAGTTAATTACACAACGGAAGCTCTAGTTTTACATGTAATTCAATGATTGAACGTCGCAAGTCACTTTGCTAAGCATTCAGTAGTGCTTAGTATAGCTTTAAAACAGATAGTTCGTTGTATTTTGTTTTTTGTGCCATCTTACCTGAGTGGTTCCCATTTCAATGTAAAATCCGGAGGTGTTAATTTTCTCTAGGTCGCCGTGGATGATGTTCTGACCGGCGGAAATGGCACAGGATGGGAATCTCTCGGTCATACCATCGCACCATACAATGAAGCCCAGGGTAATGAAAATAGCCGACAAAATGGACATGGCCAGCATCCAGATGCCCAGAACGACGTCAATGAACAGAGCTATAAACGAGGCCTCCTCCTTCATGCGGGCGTATCTATTTGGCAAAGAAATTCGCTTTCTAGAGATCTAAATAACCGAGAAATCCTCACAAGATACATACCTGTATATCTGCACCACCGAAATAATGAGCAGAAAGATCCCGGTAATCAGGGGAAAGTTGCAGAAACCATTGGATGCCCACTTGACATCGAACATGCCGTCCTCCTCCCGCCATTTGCCAGTTGTGAAGAGCAGGCAGTGGCCACTGTGGGAAATAGGAATAAAGATACTCAATAATTTACAGGGGGCAAAAGGGAAACTGCGCACTTACCAGAATTGGTCGAGGTTTATAAACAATGGCACGACGATGCACAGCGACAGGATGAACAGGATGACATGGCCAGCGATCTGGCTTAGCTGCAGCACGTTGGCCAAAGCCATTTTGCTTTTGATTTAAACAAAAACAAATTAAATTCAACAATATCCAGACAAACACGGCAATGCACTTTTGGTGTTATCGATAAGCAGTGTTGGACAGCGCGCTGCTGTTACTTGCATCGGTATGCGCTATTATCGATATATACACCCAGGGGGCCTCATTCTCGTTGAGCCATCTCTAGATCGCAATTGAACTCGTAAAAAAGTGTAAAATTTGTTTACATTGAAAAAAGGTAAAATATTGTTCTTGCGGGTTACATGCAGTGCACCCTGGCTCCTCGATAAGCCAGCCAAGATAAAGGGCCGTGTGCATGTGTGGGACATAGCCCTTTAGCAGTGCGGGGGGTGGGGGGAACAGCCAGGGCGAACAAAGAGCAATTAATGCGATAGGAGGAGGGGGGCTTTCTCCTCCGATTTTCCCCACTTCCCCGAATTTTCCAATAGAGGCTGTTGTGAAACCTAAGGTGAAGATCGCTCGGGCGAATGAACATGGAAATCCACTCAAGATCACCCTCCTCTATTGTCAATTTCCCACACGATCCTTTCCAGACACAGAAGCGGACCAGCGGACGCAATTCAATGAGGTGCTTATGAGCTAACTAGCAGCAGGACGGCAGCCAAGGAACACGGGGACGAGGTCTGGATCAGCGAGCAGGGAGCCAGGAATCACAGGCTAGAGGTCAGCGCAGACTGGTGGACAGCAGGTGACCTAGTTTACGCAGTAGCAGGTAATCCAAGGCCTTGAGATTCGAGCCCAACACTAATCACCCCCCGATTTTCAGAAGAAGATTAGAGGACTGGCGGCGGCGTTTCTGTGGCAACTCCTACTGGGGCTGTTCTGTTGTGTTAATTGAACTTAAAGCATCAACGTGCACTGCCATTAGTTGTAACCTTAATATACCTACCTAACGTAATTAGTCTACTAGTTCTGACACGAAGCAGCATGTCCAACTCCCACTACAACAACTACCAGCAGCAGCAGCCGCACTCCAGCAACGGAGATCCGGAATACCAGCACCAGCAGATGGTGCACCAGCCGCAACGGTTCTCCAACGGCCATGGCATGAAGAGCGTCGCGGTGCCAGACATGTGCCTCTTCTGCTTCGAGGTGCTTGACTGTGAGCTGAATAATGTCGATGGTCCGTCGGTGCCGGTGTTCAGCAACGACGCCTACCCACTCTTTGTCACCTGGAAGATTGGGCGCGACAAGAGGCTGCGTGGCTGCATTGGTACTTTTAGTGCAATGGAACTGCACCATGGTCTTCGGGAATACGCCTTGACCAGCGCCTTTAAGGACTCTAGATTTGCACCTATCTCTAGGGATGAGTTGCCACGGCTTACAGTCTCGGTCTCCATCCTGCAGAACTTCGAGGAGGCTCAGGGCCACCTGGACTGGCAACTAGGCGTCCATGGCATCCGCATCGAGTTCCTCACGGAACGCGGCTGCAAGCGCACGGCCACCTATTTGCCGCAGGTGGCCACAGAACAGGGCTGGGACCAGCTGCAGACCATTGATTCACTTCTACGGAAGGGTGGCTATCGGGCTGCCATAACTCCGGAGACAAGGAAGTCCATCAAGCTTACGCGCTACCGCTCGCAGGAGATTCAGATGCACTACAAGGAGTACCGCGAGTACCAGGAGCGTCGCGCCCAGTTCGGCAAGGTGCAGTGCTAACAATTGGACAGGACGGCGGCGAGGCGATGATCCTGGCTGAGGGCAGGCCTGATGGCCGTCGTCCTCTTCCTGCTGCTAGCTTTTCAATTCGGTCCAGCTTGGCGGCCGCTCTCTTAATCCGAGTTATTATGAGTTATTTCATGTCCAGCCTCAATTTTACGCCCTCAAAAATTCTCCAAAACGCGTGTGAGATGAGCGCCTTTTACTAAATATACAATTTATTGCTTCAAATACTTAAGCGGCAGATCCGTAAGCTATTTCGAATGAGAAAGGAAGAAAAGTTTTTAAACGCTATGTTGAAACCCATTGTATTCGGATTACACTGATCGATGTTGTAGCCGCAGCCTTGCTGGTTTCTCTTTAAATCAAACACACACAAACTAAAACAAAACAAGCATATATATGGGGATATATATTACCGAATCAATACAATACAAAATGCAGATATATAATTCAAGTAAAATGTTCAGCAATTATATTATAGATTTAACAACTAAACCAATTACATTACTAATTCTAATTCTATGCGCATTAAATAAAGGTCGACCCCTTCCGAGTCGCACAAGACAATGCAAAATATCGTCCGTCTTTCCTCTTGGGAATCGTGGAAGCGAAATGGAGTTTACACCTCAATGTTTTGGCATTACTCGTACACGTGTTCAATGTGTACTGTTTATTGTTCCATTATGTTGTGCGTTGTTACATGGTTTTGTACTTCTAAATCTAGTCGATAATATCGATATATGTTTGGGCTTTACGTACGGAGTAGTCTCAACAAGTTGCTAAGAAAAGTCTGCCTCTTGGATAAATGGCTACAAAAAAGCTGCGTTACGCAGCAAGGCTAATCAAACGATCTAACAACTAAGCTAGTAACAGGGCAAGTTAATCTATGGCTAAAGCGGCGAGCTAGCGCTCAATTAGTATAATTACTGGCATACGGTATACATGTATATATTCAATATATAGTCAATAGATCGCTTTGATTGCAATAAAGTATGAGTCCGTCGCAATAACTTCCCAACAAGCAGGGCAATTATAATAGATGGATTGTTTATGCACCGCAGCAAAATCGCATTCCAACGCTTTGCATCATAAGTGTACATCTAAATTACTTCGCATTTGTATGGCAGTACAATCAACTTAATGCAAAGCCAATTTCTAAACAGAAAATCAACGGATTTCAAATAGCTAAGCGAACAAAAAATTTACGTATAGTTCCTTCAGCGTGTGATTCACCCCCAAGTCCATTCCAATCAGTCTCAATGCTTGCAGAGAAACTGCTCTAAGCACTGGCACTAGGTGGCCGACAAGGCGTTCCACTCAAACCGCGGATTCTTTGAGTGCGTCACCGGAAGACATTCGGGTTCAACCAGCTTCCAGACGCCGTCCACCTGTTCCACCGTTGCCAGGCTGCAGTAGGGGATCTTGTGGATGACCTGGCGCAATTCGTTCGTGCTGCGTGGAACTCCACCGGTTAGTTGCCGCGAGCAAGTGTCCAGTGTGGTGGCATGGGCCACAACCAAAATATTGCCAGCTAGAATTAAAGCAAATGTGCATTAGATTATATTTTAAAACCACATTTTTAAAAATGTACTTGTCTGCTCCAACAGCTGGAGGATAACGTCATGGTTACGTTCGTAAAACTGCTCGGTGGACTCCTTTAAGCGAGCAGTTAGCTCAGACGAAGGCTGCACCGGCTCATAATTCAGATCAACCTCGTACTTGGCCTCGGTTAACTCGTTCTTCGTCAGCCAGTCGGGGACACCGCTCGGATACCAGGCCATCCACTCAAACAGACCAGGCTCCAGCTTGATTTTTTGCTTGCCCGTGAGCTTTAGCCCCTCCAGTGCACTGGTGCAAGTCTGAATGCAGCGATACGACGGCGAACAGTAAACATGGTCGATCTGGACTTCAGCCTCAAGCAAAGCCTGACCAATAAGATTGGCCTGATAGACACCCACATTGGTCAGCGGCGAGTCATTCTGCCAGCCCTCGGGACTGTTCTTTCGACGAGGCAGCGTCTTGGGCATGTTTAGATCCTTCCGCATGTAGTTTCCAAACTCATCGAAGCAGTATGGAATCCATGTCCCAAAAGTAAAGTCGACTCGCTCGCCATGCCGCATAATGTAGATCTTTCTATTCTTGGCATGCGAGGCGTCAAGAGATCCAGGATGCAAGGAGTGGTCCGAGTGCACACTAAGTGTGTCATCTGGACGCGGAGGCTGTGCTACCGGTGGTTCCACCAAAATCTCGTCCACCGCTTGCTTGGACGCGGAGGTGGAGGAAGAAGACATATTGGTCGTAATCTCGATCGTGGGCGTGTTTGGGTTGTGCTGATGGGTTAGGTTGTGGCTGTTGAGCAATTGCACGGAGGGCAGTTCCAGGCAGGGCTTCAAGGTTTGTCTCAAATACTTCTCCACACTCTGCTCGGATTCCTCAAAAGAAGAGCCTTCAATTATATCGGGATGTGCTGTGTCTATTGAGAAAGGCAAAATAATGAAACATAAACATTATTGGAATTTGTTCCTGTACTTACTGTGGCGTTCCTCGGGCTCCGTAGATATACTGCGTCCGTCCACAATGTCGAGATCCTCGGCGGAAGTCAAAGAAGAGGCTACGCTCTTGGAGAGTTGGACCACGCGATGCAGGGTCCAGGCGTCCGATTCGGCCGTGCGCTCGGTGTAATTGACAGGCAAATGGCCAGTGCTTCCGGTCAACCAAGATATGCCTTCGGCCCAACCGTCACTGGAACTGTCCACCACCTCAGTGTTCAAGTAGATATAATCGCCAATGCGGAGCTCCAGTTCATCCGTCTCGTGCGGGTTGTGTGGATAAACTACCTTCTGTACCTGCAAAATTAAAGATAGAATTATAACTCATCCTCCATCGATGATAAGGAGTTCTAACTTGTTTGGTGGCGAGCCGAGGATCGCGGGAATATAGACGTAGTTCCCAATTGGAGGCGCAGCCAGCGTCTAAGGTCTCCACGAGTGCTTTCAGTGCATTAAACTGTGCCTGCGGAAACTGGTAGGCAAGCGTCAGGTGCAGGCTCTTTACGTGTGGCTCGAGTGAGATAGCTACGGGTAGTTAAAAGCTATTAGTGGCCTTTCGCTAGGCGGAACAAACGATCACTGAATGGAAATGAAGGCTGTGCTGCTTATATGCGTTCGTATCTAACACGGTGAATCGATGTTTTTGATAAGGAATTATAGTCACTTAAAGTTATCTCAGCGCAAAGCCAAACGTCATGGGTTTATCAAAATTGCTTTTGTTCTAATAACGTATTATTTATTTTATTTGAATAATAAACTATAATATTCAAGCCAATGAAGAGCGGTATGAACACATTAATATGTAGTTTCGAAGCGGCAACTAAAACATCGACCTACCTTGCTATCTACAGTGTTTATTGATAAAAACAATTAACCACAATTAGCAGCGTCATGTTGAATTTTACCAATAGGGTGAGTAGATTAGTATGTTATCTATCAGTGCAAATAAGTCATGCATAAAGTGATGAGATAGTGTACTTTTGAGTGAATCAGAAAGAGATGTTATGCAAACTAATGGCTCTAGCTAATGGCTTACATCGACTGCTGCGCGGAATGCAGCGGGTGCCCGAGGAGACAGCACCGCACCAGGGAAAGCAGGCCACAATGGCGTCCAACTGCTCATAGGTATCGCTAATGACTGTGCCGCATAACCCAGATTATCCAGATATCCGAGTATTAGTGTGCAGGAAGAGAGGAGAACAACATAACCGTGTAAGCCACTCCGAAAAATGGAAAACCATCAACCGAATCGAACAGAACGTGAGAAAGGTAAACCAAAACAACCCAAAGAGAGTGCAACCAACAGAAGGAGAGTTCGTACTTGAGTTGGACACCTCCTTGACGTACTGCAGGGCCAGCCGTTTCAGATAGTTGGCATCCTCCTCGGCCACGAAGAAGCCCATGAAGTTCTGGCTCATGTAGGGCTCCAGCTTAAGAGGGCGATCCAACAATGCGCCCGTCATGTCCACCACCTGTTTGAGAGCCTTGGACAGTTGCAGCGAGCACTCATCAGGGGCCTGCAATGTGGATTAAGGGAATAAATAAAGACGCTACAATCCAGCTTAAGCTCACCTTAAAAAACGAGACCAGGGTTATGTGAGGCACGTAGTTGTGTGCTCCATTCCAACCGCACATTTGGCGCGACTTGGCCCAGAAATCCTCCAGCTGCTGTAGAAAAGGACCCGTGGGACAGGCATATATAATGTACTCCCTAGGGGCGCACTCGTCCAAGGTGCCATCGTTGACATGGGCCAGCAACCAATCCGAGGCAATCTGGACTCCCCGATTCCCTGTTGAAGCCAAAGCTTTCTCCCTGTATAGAGATAAGCAAAAAAAATCAATACTCTAATTCTCTGAAACAAAGCCTCTTAGTGGGTCACTCGCACGCAGAGCCTTTTTATCTCGATAGGACCTAGACATGCAGGTGACCCCCAATAGTCTAGGAATAGAAAACTTACGCTCTATGCCTGGGAAATCCCATTTGGAGCAATGTTTGGAGCGGTGTTAGGTGCTGTTTAGAGATGCAGATCCTCGTAGGCGTCTGGCTCTTGCGCGGCGGAAGCGTGGCCATGTCGATTATAGCCTCCTATGTAAGCCCAGGTGACCAGCGTTTAACACCCTTCGGATTTTCCTGGTTGTTCAATATTTTTCAGTGATAATTTCAACAAAAATAGGATACAATTTGTTAATTGGCCACAAAAAAGTGTTGGCTAACGGCAGCCTACAATTTTGTCAACTTCTATCGATAGCTGATAGCTGCTGCGCCATCGATAACCCTTACTGACCAGTAGAGATGAGAGCGATTCTCCTAGCGAGACAACAACAAAATTCACTGCGTAATTAATTACAAATATTTTAGTAAAACCGAGGCGTACCACAAAGAAACAGCTCGTGGAGTGTTCACTAGTGTCCAAAGTAAGTGATGGTACAAAAGGAATAAAGCGAATTGCAGAAGCAAAGCCACAAAAAGAGTGTTACGCAGCAGGCGAAAAATGCATGGAAAATGCCAGTGGAGCCCCCACATTAAACATACACACGCACACACGAAAAACGTACACAACAAAGACCCACGCACACCGACGCAATTAGTGGCGTAGTTGTAATGGTGGAGCCCAAAAACAAGTTGTTCATGGTCTAAAAAAAGGGGGCGGGGGAGGTTATCTCCCCTTGGAGAGTCCACTTTCGCACTATTTTTGATTGCACCATAGTTACTCCCCCCTGCCATCGAGGATTTTGAGGAAATGGGCGTTTTCCCAGGCAATACCTTTTCCTGGTATTCCAGACCCGCTTTTTCAGCTCGACCTCGTCTTTGTCTGTACTCAGCGCACTTTCTCCGCTGCGCTAACAGTGATCACGCTTTATCGCCTCAATGCGGGCACCTCCCTCCCCTCCTGCCCTCCTGTTCACAATGTCCAGCGATCCACTCAATGCGGATTGCTCAGAGTGACTCATCCGATTTGTTTATCACCCAGTTCAGCGGAGCACCACCGCTCGTCATTACAAAAATTGTACAACTGCCTGAACCTTAAACATTTAAACAGTCATGTCGTGCTAGAGATTACGGCTTTTCATTGTCCTTTACAAATACATAATTCATGAAAGGTCTAGACTCTAGAGGTTTGTGCATTTCACTTTTATTTATATTAGTAAAGAACACATTCCATGCCTACACTCCTTAATCGAATTAGAGAAAACCGCAATGGTATTTTTAACACCCAATCAATAACATTCTGTGGTTTTCAGCGCCGAATACCAAAAGAAATAACCCCCAGTAAGCCAACCCCACAAACTGCATCGAAATGTCTGGCCGTAAGAAATCCCTGCTGAAAGTCATCATTCTGGGCGACAGCAGTGTGGGCAAGACCTCGCTGATGAATCAGTATGTAAACAAACGCTTCTCCAACCAATACAAAGCCACGATCGGAGCAGATTTCTGCACGAAAGAGGTGGTTGTCAACGATCGAGTGGTCACAATGCAGGTAAGCACTGGGGACTACCATAAATTTCATTTCAATGACTTAAATCGTACAATTTCTATGACAGATCTGGGACACTGCTGGTCAGGAACGCTTCCAGTCGCTTGGAGTGGCCTTTTACCGCGGAGCCGACTGCTGTGTGCTTGTCTACGATGTGACGGCGCCCAACTCGTTCAAGAATCTCGACTCCTGGCGCGACGAGTTCCTCATACAGGCCAGTCCACGGGATCCCGAGCACTTCCCCTTCGTGGTATTGGGCAATAAGGTGGATTTGGACAACCGCCAGGTGTCTACGCGTCGAGCGCAGCAGTGGTGCCAATCTAAGAACGATATACCCTACTACGAAACGTCCGCCAAGGAGGGCATCAACGTGGAAATGGCGTTTCAAGTTATAGCCAAGAATGCGCTAGAGCTGGAGGCGGAGGTAAGCAATCCTCTTTAAATGTTATCTTTCATACTAAAGCGAACCTTACGTTTTTCCACAGGCTGAGGTTATCAACGATTTCCCCGATCAGATCACCTTGGGCTCGCAAAACAATCGTCCTGGCAATCCCGACAACTGTCAGTGCTAATGAAACAACAACGCAAAATGGATAATTACACAATCTATATTATTAAATAATATTTCCAACATAATAATGAACTTGAGAAGCAAACAACACAAAGAACGACGGAGGAAAGTGTTCTATGATTAAGTAAAACAATTTCAGCAAAACAGCATAGTAATTAATTAATTGATAGGATGCAAAGTTCAGATTCAGATCAACATCAGCAGAGTCTTAAATGGCCTCTGGCAAAGGCCCAACCAGTATACCCAATTTCCTACGACCTAAGTAACCGTTCAATGAATAAGTATGCTCTGTGTACTCGTATTTAATAATTAATGTTTCTGACCGACCGCCCGCCTATCTCCCTAGTACTATTTTTGCCATTGTATTAGTCAAATTTTGCACGCAACCGCTGCTGGCTTTTGCAACAGAACAGCAACATTGAGAATACAACATCAGAGTATCTTCTAAACAAACAAAAAAATCTTGTGATTGTAAATTTAATAAAGGAATAACTTTTTAAATGTAATTAACGACATAATTTCCTGCACCATCGAATTGGCAACTCTATTATAATTGGCTGAGCTTCACAAAACTCCCTTATGCATAATATTAGAGCGTGAATTTTGATTAGTTATAACGTTACTCGATATATCCTATAACTATGAATAGTATTCCATGTAAAATTGCTCCTTGTTTTTGGTAATACATATATGTAAATTGCGTATATTTCGTATGTATTTTATTCCAACAATTCATTTTATGAATTTTCATGCTCTTTGGTTTAATTTAAAGAATAAACATGAACGATTTACAATAAAAATCAAATAAGCCTAATTGTTTTTCTTCTGTGGGTTTCATTCATTTTGTGCCCATTGTACAACAGATGCAACCAGGTGAGCACAGAATATCGCTTATCGATAAATCAGTACTGTTAATATTTGTCTGCAAAAACATCTGTGGTCATTGTCTGTTAACTTGTTAAGCCTATTTTTTTTATTAAATTCTATACCATGTCTAACTTTTCACCTGTGACACCACCTCCTCCCCCACCGCCCATGATAGCCACTCCTGGCACACCTGCTACAACAAAAGAACGTCCAGTTGCGAACAATATAACCACCGATAAGTGCATTTGGGCATGCGAGTATCCTGAATTGCAGAAAGGATGCTATATGTGTCGCGTCTGCGAACATACGCCACCGAAACATTGCCAATACTACTCCGTAAACAGCATAATACAGGTGAGCAAGGAATAAATAGATTCTTCGGTTTGTTATTCGATTGCATACGTATCCAAGGTAGGACCCACTTGTGGTTTAGTGGCCTTAAGCATGTTGCTCGGTGGCAGTCCCACGGCAGCTGAGCTCCTCAAGGATGCAATTGACCAGGAGTATACCCTGAATGGCGAACTATTTAGTGCTCAGTATATGTTGGAACTGTCCCGTAAGCATATGCCAGGACCAGCTGCGTGCCAGTTGCATGCAGGACCTTTGGACTGCAAAGAAGTCAAGGAACTTTTAAAGGCCGGAGGCTGTCTACTAGTACCGTATCCTTTTTCAAAAATATTATGATATAAACCCGGTTTAAGTTCTGTATTCTCCCGCATTGAAAGTCGTTCGCGCCTTACAGCACTTGTAAACGGTTAACAGCATACTGTTGTCTGCCAGTGTTGTTAAACTCGCGGTTGTTTAGTGCTACAACATATAAACAGCGTTTTCGGTTTCGCGAAATTAACTATACAATTTCCAGTCAGTAAGTAAACGAGAAGTGTTCATTTTTTAATTAAATGGCCGATGAAACAGAGCAGGTATGTAATGCAAGCATTAAAGAAATATGATATTCTCTATATGACGTACTTGCAGCTCAGTCAGGTGATTTTGCCGGTGAAGGAGCCCCTGGATCTCATCCGATTGAGTTTGGATGAGAAGGTGTACGTAAAGATGCGCAACGAGCGGGAACTGCGAGGACGTCTTCACGTGAGTTGATGCCTCTTTTTATTGTTGGCCAGCAATCTTCCACTATTAACCTTTATCCAGGCATTTGATCAGCATTTGAACATAGTGCTGGGCGATGCGGAGGAGACGGTGACCACAGTGGAGATCGACGAGGAGACCTACGAGGAGGTGTACAAGACCGCCAAGCGCACTATTCCCATGCTATTCGTTAGAGGCGATGGAGTCATCCTGGTTTCGCCACCCATGCGGGTGGGCTAGCGCCTTGTTTAGCTTTAAATCAATCACCTGCATTACAAGCTGTATCTAAATAGGTTTATAAATGCCTTTAAAACCAAAATCGTGTCTTTTTTCACCATTGGTGTGCCTTAAATATTTTTGTGCTTACCATTAATTTAAATATTTTTTCCTTGGGCTGTCCTTAAATAAATTCCTCTTCCAAAGCTACGATGCCGATGTAAACCATGCGCCGTGCGTTGTATACGGACACCGAGCTCATTGGGCTTTGATTGTGGGTTACCTGGAGGATCCGTTTGATCGGGTGAGTGGACAAAGGGTTCTTTTAGCCAATAGTAATGCATATACCTTGCCGCAGTTCTACGTCTTGGCTCGTCATGGTAAATCCCGTAATCTGGCCGTTTGGCCACTGGACACGCTCAGCAAAAGCAACGAAAATTTGATAAAGTTTGCCCAGCCGAAGGGCTACCCAGATGTTGAATTTATGCTGCCACCAGGTGGAATCGGTGGGTCTCTGGGCCTCAACGAGCGGTGCATTCTAGTCAACGGCATGCCAAATGAGGTGATTCATGTTCGGTGTTCTTAGATATACATATGTACTGAATGAATATTTTCAATATCTGAATATTTTCAATAAAAAGACTATAATTTCGTAGTTAACGTTAATATATTTAATAGTACAGTTATAAATTACACGCCTTACAATATTTCACTTCGCAACGCAGTCAACGCACATCTAACTCCTATTCATCATTCAGTTCAAACGGGGAAAAACACGCAGAGTTTTCGTATTCAATCGGTTCGCAACTACTACGGGGACACGAATGCGATTTTAGGGGGGAATAGAATATAATATACAATAATGATATATCGAACTTTCTTTTGCTTTAGAGCCTGCTGTGTATAAATTTATGTATACATGTATAAATTTATGCTTTTCCAACATCCGCTAATAAGACTGGGCTGCCTTGAAATTTCAAAAATCACAACAATAAGAGTAGTACACATGGTTTTGTATATATGGTAGATACGATAGGTAACTATATATAGTATGTTTTGTATATAATTTTACACACAGATATTCTTCTGATTTAGGTAGTACATAGACGACGGGATTGGGTATAATGTCAAATATTTGTCCATTAGGCTTAGTATGCTGCAGTACTTTTAGAATCGTTTGATAGTTGACCAAACGGGAGCGGCGATTTTGAGATCATGGGGCCTAATGCTTCCGATTGCTTGGGACTGTCGGTTAGAGAATATATATATATGTATGCTAGTACATGGCCAACAGGCAATAGCAACGTGTCCATAGAAATTTTTTGAAACGATAACTACAAAGTTTGGTTTGGTTTTAGTTCTACAACTTCTTGTACAGGATATTTTGATACGCGTTGTTCATCTCTGACGAGTTTAAAATTACTTTAAGCACGTCATTAAACTAGTAGTGCCGGTTTGTCTGTACGTGTCTGGTTGCGGGTCGAAAGTATCTCTGATAAATTCACAAGTTGCGTGCGGAAATGAACTTAAATGAACGTTACAGGCTAACGGTTTATTAACTAAAAATTTACAAATACTAATTATAAATAAATTATCATTCTTTTCAGTTTTATAATATTTATTGCCGCGCAAGTGACTGGATCCCTTGCTCCGAGCACATTTCAGTTTTTGTGTCCGTTTATCTGTGTTGTTTGTGGGAGTTGGGAGTGTCCCGTGTGAGGTCGGGGGTTAAAATGACTAGGATAATTCAGCACAGGACATGGGAGTGCACCCGATGAGCGCAATCGGAAAGTTCTTGACGTGCGTTTGCCATTGCGACGATACTTGGAAGAACTTGACTCCCGTCCACTCGGTGCCATCAATGTACACTGCCAAAGGGAAGCGAAGGGAACATTAGTAAAACTCCTCACTGAGTGGAAGATGGACGTTCTTACCTCGCAGTGGCACTGGATGCGATTGTTTCGGTGAGCAAATCAAACGGGCCACGCCCTCCACACATTGCTCCTTCTCGAGATCACGCTCCTTATCCTTCTTTTTGCCCAAGCGCATAACTAAAAGGGATGGACAGCGTATGTGAATTAAATCTTAAATACGAAGTGGGAGGAACTCACTCTGCTTCTGCTTCTTTTCCTTGGTGGCGAAACTAACAGTCAGTCCATTGAACATATCACCCAATTGCTGTGCATGCTGTGGCAGTCGCCACACCTGCAGGTTCCTAAACGTACTCTTAATGCTATTCTTGCCGCCAGCGTCGCTACCCTTGGACAAGCCACCCTTAGACTCCTTGGCGTGACCTTCGCCCGGCCTCACCAGGGGCCAATAGTCAACTTGCAGTTCCACTGCTTCGGCCGCCGCAAGAGCTCCACTGAAAGTCTGCTGCTGCACCGACGATGGCGTACTAAGCGATTCACTGGTATTGCGCTCCCGGTGAGAGGATGCGGATGACGGTGGCGTCTGCAGAGGCGGTGAGATGCGTCCCAAGCTCTGCTGTTGGGGCGGCGAACCAGACACTACGCCGTGCACATTTGGCGAGCTCTGGCTGCCTATGGGGATGGCTGAGCTCGAAGCGGATCCAGAGCCCAGTCCACTGCCGACTGTGTTGGCGCCAGCTACATTTTCCTCAAGATCCAGCGAGGCCTGCGCGTCCAGATAGCCAATGCGAACATCCTGTTTATTAAGAACAATAATGCTTAGTATTTTATGGCCTATGGGAAAGTGTTCATAGGCTTTATACTTACACTAACAAACGGCACAAATATCTGGCAGGAGTCCTCATCCTTGTAGTTGACCATAGCCTCGGCAATGGGTATCTGGGTACAGGGTCCTGCCGCCAGTAAGTAGCGCTGAATACGCTGCACCAATTCTGCGATGTCGGACTTGGCAACACCCGCCGCATCCGCGAGGTTGGTTGTCAGCGCGGTGGCATTCACTGTGGTCACCGCACTAACCGCTGCCGCTGTGGCTGCCGCACGTTCGCACAGCTGCGTCCAATTGTCCGAACCGAACATCACCGCGTACGCCTGATCCATTTGGCTGAGATGGCGCGCAACGCTACCACAGCTGCCGCCGACGGGCACCAAGTAGAAGCGCAGGTGATTCAGCCAATCCGGAGGACGCACTCCCATCAGTTCTACGTAGTGTCGCAGCGTGGCTCCCTGCAGCCAATCTCCGCCAATCAGCAGCACCTTCACCGTGTGCGGCGGCTTGGCGTTGGAGTTGCAACTAAACGTGGACGAGAAAATGCATTAACATTGCATCTTTGATGATAGAACGCGAGCACTTACTACTTCTGGATCTTGGCCATGAGCGCCTGGAGCACCGCCTTGACCTCGGCAGTGTTCTGCGGCACGAAGGCCGGCTTGAAGGAGTTGGCAAACAGCGTGACCAGTTTGGCCAGCAACGCACTGCCGCCCAACGCCTCCGGCGGGCTAATGATGGTCACCACCTCCGGAATGGTGCTTTCCTCGCCGGCGAACACGCGACTCAGCTGGTCGAGCAGCAGCTTGCGTGGCTCCACGTTTGTGGGCGATAGGCAAGTCTCCAGCACGGATCTTGGCTCGGCACTCAGGCTCAGGGTGTGCTTCCTCTTGCCGCCACCCGATGCGCTAATGGCACTGACACTGTTGCTTCCACTTCCTGTGTTTGCCGGAGTATTGCTGGAAGTTCGGAACAATCGTGATCGCTTCTCCGTCTGAGCGGGCGTTACCACGCTCCCGCTTCCCATGCTCGCAGCCACTGAGCTCACTGGGGTCAGCTGCTGCTGCTGCATCTGCTGCAGGCGCATGTAGTCCTTGTCCCTGGGCGGACTGTTTTGCGGATCGGAATTCTGGCCATCCGTATAGCCAGCGTTGCCCTCATTGCCGGAGCTGTCATTACCCCCGCGATCTGTGGGGAGCATAAAAGAGATGAGGAAATGGGTTAAACAATGCGTTCTTGGGTAATTGGTTTAATCTAACGCAGGAGCTGTCATAATGGCAATGGCGTTGGAAAATTGATATAGAAGAAATCCCATTTCTATTCTTATTCAAACATAAAGTGTTTTTTAAAGGCTTCCTCTCATTTTTCCAAAGACACGGCCATTAGGATGACCCCGGGTGGAGGAGAGGGTCTAGTGAGTGACGGTGTGAAACTGGGGGCACAAGACATGCGGAGACCAAACAAGACGAGTGAAAACAGAATCGTGAGACAGAATGGCGGCCACAAATAGTAGGTCCCGAAATAGAACGCCCCTGCGAAGAGTTACCCAGTCCAAGGAGCACCGTGTAAATAAATAATAAAAAGAACGGACCGAGAATATAATTTAAGCTTTCTTTTATTTTATGACCATGAATGGGAGGTGGTCTAACGGTGGGGCAAAGTAGCCATATTTCTGTGAGGCAGAAATTTCCGGCTCGTCGTGCTTGAATTTTCAAAGCCATGCGCCGATTAATCAAAAAACGCACGACACGTAAATAAAATGAAAGTGAAAGAAAATGGGGGAAAAAAAGGGGAATGCCGAGGGAGCAAACAAATCCAAGACTTTATCAAGTGGTGGGGGCGATACTGGCGGCACAGGGCCGTGATTAAGGGTGTTGTTTTCAAGGGTCTGACGTCTATGACGGGGCTAATTGGAAAACCGCTTCAAGTGCGTCGAAGGTTCAATTGTCATGCCACAGACTCACACACAGTCTCACACATGTTGCGTACGTGGACTCCTCTTTTTGTGCGGGGAGGGGGGTTGGGGCGAAACGGACTGGAGGTTTTATTTTAAGACCCCACAAACATGCACCTCAACTATGTATGTATACCAAAAACAAACGATCAATGGATTTGACGCACAAATCAAAGATTGCCCCTCATCCCACTCCAATTTCGAGCATGCAAAGGTGCAGAGCGGTGTGGTGCAACAACAACTAGGATACGAGCAAGGCATACATTTACATTTCCAGTGTACTTGTGGCATGGTGTGTGTGGCTGTGTAGCTGTATGCGTGTGTGGGCAGTGGGCTGTGCGTGAGTGTGGAGCAAGGCAAGGAATTTGGGTGAACGCCTCCTTTAAATATTAAAAACCTGTAATCCTATAAACTGCTTGTTGTATATTATGTATTCTATGTATGAAAATAGGACAAAAGCTCCTTTGTTTCTTTTTTTCGATTCATAGATTGGTGTAATCCGCAAAAAAGGCACAATCTCACGAAATGTTGTATCCATGAGAATTCAATAGAAGTGAAATATACTTTAAATTGTTTTTACAGATTTACCTTAAGAGCTTAACTTTGTAATAAAGTAACTTTTAATATTTTTAGGATGGCGGTAACCCTCAAAAAAAGAAAATAGCAAACATTTTCTGGATGAAAAATGTATCTGATAGGGTGGGCTGGTATTATTTATATACAAACTGGACACGGATTGCAGTATGCTATACATATTCATTGTCCAAAGGATAGGATATTTTTTGTGGTCTCATTTTGAAGGTTTTAGGGGGTGATGGTGTGTAGTATTTCTATAATTTTGATTGGGGGTATTCTTTTTTTTTTTAGATTTTGCTGTAATGTACACAGACCTGGTGTTGTTGCCGAATTGTTATTGTTTGTTAAATGAATGCATTTTTGGTTTTTGTT